AGATGCAGACGTGTGTGTGTGTATACAGATAGATGCAGACGTGTGTGTGTTGTGTGTGTGTGAGTGTATACAGACAGATGCAGACGTGTGTGTGTTGTGTGTGTCTGTATGCATGTAGGCATTCATGTATCAACATCTAAAGAGACTTCACAAGTGCAGGGTAGTGCACATCTGAGCACACACATGACTGAAAAAGCAATAGGGTAAAATGCTAACAACAGATCATGCTGACACGCTGGTATACGTCCAGTGGCAAGGATGCAGAGCACCCTTAAAACTGCTCTAATCAGCCTGAGGGTAACTTATAGGTTACTAAAGTGGCAAGCCATTATAAAATGAGGCATACTTACGATGCAAAAGGAATTTTTAATATAGGATCTGAGTTTTCAACTGCAAGGCTTCCAGATTTAAAGTGAGGACTGAACTGTGTTAGATGATTTCGAAGAATTCCAACAGCGACTTGTGCATGTGGATCAAGACTAACTCTGAAGACATTAATAAAAAATGGTTCATTTTTAGGAGTAAATTCATTCAAAATTAACACAATATGCAAACTATTTTACATATAAACGGAGTCAACAGTTTGAACTTCAATTAACATACCTGAATATAATAACACTTCCTGGAGACAAGTTTTCAAATTCTATTTCTTGAATATATTCATTGGGCCCTTTTGTGGCAACTCCAGCTTGTTTCACAATTTTACTTTCATTAAGCTTGGAAAAATTAAGTTAAAAAAATCAATTCAATCAATAATTCTGACGTCCTTAGAATATTAAACATAATAGCAAGATGAGAGTCCCAAATACCTGAATGTGTTCTCTGATTTCTACTGTGATATTTGGCATTCCATTGATTGAATTCTCATTCTTCCTATAAGGATTTGTATTTCTCTCAATAGTTCTAGCTTCAAGAACTACTTCTTCAACTTTGCCTAAGAATATATAAAAATTTTCACAAACTTTTATGTGGAACCATCTGAAACTAGGAACGGCTAATGTAGCTTCAAATCATCTAACTCAAAGAATTGAAAATAACATACCAATTAACTTAAAAAATACAAAAAAGTCTAGAAGGAGATGATTTTATTTAGAATGCATTTTTCATATCTGCTTTAAAAAAAAAAAAGGGCAACTTAATTAGACCAAGCGGTGTGGCGCATGCCTGTAATCCTAGCACTCTGGGAGGCTGAGGAGGGGAGATAGCCTGAACTCAGGAGTTTGACCCCAGCCTGAGCCAGACTGAGACCAGCCTGGGCAAGAGCGAGATCTGTCTCTAAAAACAGCCAGGTGTTATTGTAAGCACCTGTAGTTCCAGCTACTTGGGAAGCTGAGGCAAGAAAATCACTCGAGCCCAGGAGTTTGAGGTTGCTGTGAGCTGTGATGGCATAGCACTCTACTGAGGGCAACAATGTGAGACTCTGTCTCAAAAAAAAAAAAAAAATCCAAAAAACAAAGAAAAACTTAATTGAAAAAGCTTTATTTAAGGGCGGCGCCTGTGGCTCAAAGGAGTAGGGTGCCAGCCCCATATACTGGAGGTGGCAGGTTCAAACATGGCCACGGACAAAAAAAAAAAAAAAAATAGAAAAAGCTTTATTTAAGACACAATTGTAAGAAGGACTTTACCTAACAAATAGAAAACCTGGTTTCGGCTTGGCGCCTGTGGCTCAAGTGGCTAAGGCACCAGCCACATATACCTAAAGTGGCGGGTTCAAATCCAGCCCAGGCCTGCCACAACAACAATGATGGCTGTGACCAAAAAAAAATAGCCAGGTGTTGTGGCAGGCACCTGTGGTCCCAGCAATTTTACTTGGGAGGCGGAGGCAGGAGACTCGCTTGAGCCCAGGAGTTGGAGGTTGCTGTGAGCTATGCCACAGCACTCTACCCAGGGGGACAGCTTGAGGCTCTGTCTCAAAAAAAAAAAAAAAAGAAAATCTGGTTTCTTGTACCCTCAATGAATCCCCAACAATTAAAAAAAAAAGAAAAAGCTTTATTTGAAAAAAGATCTTTTTTTTTTTTTGAGACAGAGCCTCAAGCTGTCCCCCTGGGCAGAGTGCCGTGGCATTACAGCTCACAGCAACCTCCAACTCCTGGGCTCAATCGAGTCTCCTGCCTCCGCCTCCCAAGTAGCTGGGACCACAGGCGCCCACCACAACGCCCAGCTATTTTTTGGTTGCAGCCATCATTGTTGTTTGGCGGGTCTGGGCTGGGGATTCGAACCCGCCACCTTAGGTGTATGTGGCTGGCGCCTTAGCCGGTTGAGCTATAGGCGCCGAGCCTTGAAAAAAGATCTTAAATAATAATGGCTTAGCCCTAGGAAATAGTCTATAATCTTCCGAATTTTGAGCAGAGAAAAGTAAATAATTTGAAAGGATTATTACATTTAAAAAAAATAGGCTATTCAGAAATACAAAAAGTAGAGAACGTTGTTTTAAAAACCCAGGTATTGCTACCTCACTTATGAAAAATTTACAAATACAAGTGAAGTCCCTGTGTACCCTTTTTTCTCCTTAAGAGATAACTGATACTTAACAGTTTGGTGTTCATCATACCTGACATTTTATTACATATGTATATTGTATCCTTAAACAGCATATATTATGTTCCATACTTTCAAGTTTCATTAAAATGAATTCAAGTTACATATATTTTTTGGCAACCTGCTTTCTACTGGTCAACATTATTTTTTAGATTCATTCATGCTGCTACATTATCTCTAGCTCGTTTAATTCAAATGCCAAATAAAATTCTACTGCATGAATATATAAACATACATTTATTCTATTAAAGTTGTCTCTAATTTTTATTATAAATAATGTTGTAATAAATATTCCTGAATCTTGATGGTTCAAATGGATATGTATGAAATTTTTCAGATACATACCTAGTAGTAGATTTGCTGGATCAAAGCATATATAAAATTTCAATTTTACTGCTTAAATAACTTAAGCTTTAAGCCATTAACCTGAAAATAATAGTACCTTTTGATCCAGAAGTTCTACCACTAGAAATATATACCAAGAAGATTATTCAAAAGAAATTATTCTTACTGTATAGTCCAAACTAAAAGAATAACACTACTATCTATACTGTGGAATGTTAAAAATAGAATACTAAAATAAGAAAATACGAAACATTTAACATAATGAAAATCACAATTTTTGTGGGCTGACAAGTGGAAATGTTTTAAGAATGATCAAAAACAAAACTCGAGGTAATGGCCAAGCGCAGCGGCTCACTCCTGTAAACCTAGTAATGTGGGAGGCCGAGACAGGTAGATGGCTTGAGCTCAGGAGTTTGAGACCACCCTGAGCAAAAGTGAGACCCTGTCTCTACTAAAAACAGAGAAAAAAAAGCTATCTGGGCATAGGGGTGCACACCTATAGTTTTAAGTCTATTTAGCAGAAATGGTGCCAATAAATATTAGTTGAAACCTGCCTGTAGTCCACGCTGAGGTAAGAGGATTGCTCAGGCCCAAGACTTTGAGGATGCTGTGAGATATGATGTCACAGCACTCTAGCCTGGAGCACAGAGGGAGACTGTCTCATAAAGAAAACCAAACAAAATAAAGTTTGAGATAATATTGTAATTTTTTTTTGAGACAGAGTCTTGGTCTGTCGCCTGGGCTAGTCATCACAGCTCACTAAACCTCCCGTTCCTGAGCTTAAGCAATCCTCCTGCCTCAGTCTCCCAAGTAGCTGGAACTACGGGTGCGTGACATCACAACTGGCTATACTGTGTTATAAGGTACATGGCATATAATCATAATTTAACATAACATTATAACAGAATTTAATATAACTGTAATCATATTTAGATTGTTTTACCAGGGATGCACATTTGAGGCACTTCCTTGCTATAAAATGACGTCTTAGGATTTCTGAAAGCAGTTCTAGATACAGCAACAACAGACTGATGGATACTAGGCGAGTGTCTTGTTACTGCCACTATGTCTTCATCAACTTGATCCACATACACCTGAGAAAGAGAAAGAGCAACGAGCTGAGGGCTCCAACTGAAAACTGGTGCTCAAACCGGAAAGGCTTACTCTGAAATTGAACCTTAAGAAACATATTGATAAAATTTAGTTTCTTGCCTGAATAAAACCCTTGGCTCCAAGCTCTTGATGAAGTTTATTGATAGCACACCTGGCTGCAATAATGCCACTCTGGAAATTAACTTCACCTGTATTTGATGGCAATGCTCCAGGATTCCACTTCGTGTAAAATCTTTCTTCAGAAACCACTGAAATCTGGAGAGGGGTAAAATTTAGTCATGTATACATTTTAATTACAACGAGAGCTTCTGATAACAATGCTCAAAGCTGTTAGCCATGCAGATTTTAAAAACAATATACAAACCAACCTGATGAGGTACTAATTCATCATAGCCTCTCGTGCTTCCACTGGCACAACACGCCATGGAAACAACTGTGGAACTTGGGAGAGCATCGTACGCTGATCTGTGCTAGAAAGAAACCACAAAGCAAGCACTTACTTTCTTTCAGATGCCAAGTGCAATTCTACAGCATAATGAAGGAAAAGATAATTACGCAAATATATTTTATAAGATCCATTAATTTGTTCTTAAACATTGTAAAAGCTACGTGCTACAATCACTTATAAATTTTAGACATTATTTTGAATATGGACATTATTGCCACTAATTATCAGAGGGCTACATACCAGAATATTTAGCAAAATAATTAAGTACATGAAGATGATGCTTACCACGATGGGACACTCATTATCATGGGTAATATCCATAAACAGGGCATGTGCGATAGCTGGCATCAAAGGCCTCAAACAGGGCTGAACAAAGGATCCAACAGGTTCTCCCCCGTATCGGTAAACTAGTCGGCCCTCTTCGTGACTGTCAGAGGCGCTCATTGCCTCTGTAGAACATTACAGAATATTTTAACAATCTTCATTATTTACGCCCAAGGAGAGATTAGATTTTCATTATGACTGATTTACAAAATAAAGACCACATCAATGTTACCAAAAATACAACTGCTTTAAGCATTTATTTTATATAAATGTCCATTAGTTTAAGTGACAAAAAAGTCTTTCTGTAACTTAACTGGAGAAATGGCTCGTATAAAGAAAAGGGAACATAGATTGTTTCTTAGGACGTAAGCGATATAATATCATAAAAAATTTAAACAGTGCACCGTATATCCTGGAGGGGATGAAAATATATTTATATAATATTTTTTTCATCAATTAAAAAATGGTTTTGTTTGCAAGTCATCAGTTTAAACCACTGACCTTTCAATTTGAAGTGAAGTATTTTACCCCAAAGTAGAAATGTTTAATGATAAAAATAGATTGAATTATATTAGGCAACTTCGTATACTGTGTTAAAAATTATTAAGGATTTTTTTTTTATTAAATCATAGCTGTGTACATTAATGCAATCATGGGGTACAATGTGCTGGTTTTACACACAATCTGAAATGCTTTCATCAAACTGGTCAACATAGCCTTCACAGCATTTTCCTAGTTATTGTGTTAAGACATTTATATTCTACACTTAATAAATTTCACATGTACCCTTGTAAGATAAATAAAGGTATTAAGTTCCTTTTAATCTACTTAAACAAAAGCTAAAGTTTTAGATAAGGAATATACTCCAACAAGCCCACCTCTTATTAGGGAACTAATGCCCAGTCTAGTAACGAAGATATTGTCCAGGTCTTCACTTCCTGTGAACAGTTCAGCTACTACATATAAATTGGGTTGCAGTTTCCTAGCAGCATCCAACATGTACTGCAAAAAGCACAGACAAAATGGAACAGAGAGAGAAAAGCAAAACATGAGAAAAGGAAGGAGACAAGACTGGCATGGATTTGACATAAGAAAATATGTAGCAAGAAAAAAAACAGAAGTTCAAGAATTTCCAAATATTTTTCATTGTGCAGATGTAAGAAAACATCAAACACACCAATACACATAGGAAATAAGAGAATTTGTAAAGAGAATAAAACAGGTAAAAAGGAAGATTAGATTTTACAAATATATAGAGACAGAAGGGGAAAAAAGAAAAATATTTAGTGTCATATTAAAATATGTAAGCCATTAACACTGCAATTCTGTCTTTCAGAAAGTCTTTGTCAGGCTTTCCTGCTGTTTTCTATTTGTTTTTAATACCTTTAATCAGACTGTTAATTTCTTGACTAAGTTATTATTGATAAATTCTTTGCTGGTAAATTATTCAGCTGTTGCAACAATTAAGTCTGACTAACCAGACCGAACCAGCATTTCCCACAGATGGAGATAAACTCTTAAACTCTTATACCTCACAATTCCCACTTCTATAATTTACGTTTAACACTGGTGCTAATGATCTAGCCGATGATCAGAAAATACTGGCTTATATCAGAAATCAGAGTGGTTCCAGAAAACCTTTTTCTTTCTTTTTTTTTTTTTTTTTTGAGACGGAGCCTCAAGCTATCCCCCTGGGTAGAGTGCCATGGCATCACGCTCACAGCAACCTCCAACTCCTGGGCTCAATCGAGTCTCCTGCCTCAGCCTCCCAAGTAGCTGGGACTACAGGCGCCCACCACAACGCCCGGCCATTTTTTGGTTGCAGCCATCATTGTTGTTTGGTGGGCCCGGGCTGGGGATTTTTTCTTTTTTTTTTGAGACAGAATCTCACTCTCTTGCCCCAGGATAGAGAGCTGTGGGATCATGGCTCACAGCAACCTCAAACTCTTGGGCTCAAGCAATGCTCTTGCCTCAGCCTCCTGAGTATCTGGGACTACAGGCTCCCTCCATGACACAGAGCTCATTTTTTCTATTTTTAGTAGAGATGGGGTCTCACTTGCTCAGGCTGGTCTGGAACTCCTGAGCTCAAGCAATCTACCTGCCTCAGCCTCCCAGAGTACTAGGATTACAGGCATAAGTCACTAGCTCCCAAATTCTTTTTAACATAACATTCATACAAACATTAATGAAATATTTGAAATTTAATCAGCTAACAGGTAAAATCCTGAAAAATTTTGTAATTTAAAATTAAGCAAATTAAATTTTAACATTCTTTTTGCTATAATGTTATTACAATTTCACAAGTATAAAAGCATAATAAAATAAACCCTGCCATCTTTTGGAGCTAAATAATGTTTTACCAGCTTAATTAAGTTCACTAAATCCCTTCAAATCAAATCAATGTTTTACCACAGGATTTGAAATATATACATTATAATACTACTTTAATATTACAGAAATAGAAATTTTACAGATAAGCACATATTTACAAAGAACACCTAAGTGACATTTGTCACTAGGAAGCTGGATAAAAAATTATGTTTATTTATAAAATTGTATTAGGTAGAAATACTATTAAGTATTGGTATAATTCAAAAGTCACTGTAAAAAACAGCTGGGCATTATAGTTCACACTTAAAATCCTAGTAACTGGGAGGCTGAGGCAGGAGGATTGCTGGAGGCCAGGAGTTTGAGAGCAGCTTGGGCAAAAGTTAAGACTCTGTCACCAAGGCTCAGAGCCGTAGCACAGTGGTTATGGCACTGGCCACATATACTGAGGCTGGTGGGTTCAAACCCGGACTGGGCCAGCTAAGCAACAATGACAACAACAACAAAAAATAGCCAGGTGTTGTGGCAGGCACCTGTAGTCCCAGCTACTTTGGAGGCTGAGGCAAGAGAATTGTTTAAGCCCAAGGTTGCTTAAGTCTGAGGTTGCTGTGAGTTGTCACACCACAGGACTCTACCAGAGTGACTGAGACTCTGTCTCAAAAAAAAAAGACTCTGTCACGGCCTGTAGTGGCGTGTGCCTGTAGTCCCAGCTACTCAGGAGGTTGAAATGGAAGGATCACTTGAGCCCAGGAGGTTGAGGTGCTGTGAGCTATGATGATACTACTGCATTCAGGCCTGGGGGACATAGTGAGACTCTGTCTCAAAAAAAAAAAATCACTATAATCTGTAGTACACTATTCAACTTCACAGTTGCTGTTAATATTTACTGAAAGCAATCTAAAAACTAGACAAATTATAGTAATAGTTCATATATTATCAGTAGACAATATGGTTATGCTATATATTACCAAAGACAGTATGATCAACTTCCCTAAATTAAAGTTAAAAAATTAACTTGTTAAATATTGTATAGCCCAGAATTCCATCACAATCTCATGTTAAAATAAAGCAAATTATACAAGTGTTAATTATTACCACTACATCGATACTGGAATCTAAGCAAAAAAGGAAATATGTGTCTGTATAGCCTACTTAGTGAAAGCTAAGACAGCACAATGAATTCTTTTCTCAATGTAGATAAATTATTTTTCTGTACCTCAGCGACATGGAGAGGTGTTGAGTGGCAGTTATCAAGACGCACTCCTTGGAAATAAGTTGCAGTTATTTCAGTGTATTTTTTCATGTGTGCCCAGAGATAAGGACAATCCTCTGGTTTATTTCCATAGCGTAATTTGACACTGTCTCCCCAGCAAATAAGTTCTCTCCTTAAATAAACTTCTGAACCTGTTAAGAAAGGCGATTGCTTTCAGTGGTTCAAGAAATAAAATGAAAACAAGTGCTTCAAGGAGACACTGTTGTTTCTAGGTGGCTTTCATCATTTCTTCCACAAACAAGATACTGGTTAAAATTATATCTAAAATGATAAGAGATAAAGTTTTTAAAAATTAATATTCATTTATTTCTTACAACCATTTTGTGAAAATTCTAGTTTTTAGTCTCTTTTAAAAATGTGTATGTAATTTGAGAAATCCAAGTTGCTGCTTCTGGAAAAAAAGAAATGGTAATAACATAATAGGTCTTTTAAAGCTATAATTCTACCAAAAACATTTTTTTTTTTTGAGACAGAATTTCACTATGTCACCCTTGGTAGAGTGCTGTGATGTCATAGCTCACAGCAACCTCAAACTCTTGGGCTTAAGTGATTCTCTTGCATCAGTCTCCGAAGTAGCTGGGACTACAGGCACCCGCCACAATGTCTGGCTATTTTTTGGTTGCAGTTGTCATTGTTGTTAGGCAGGCTTGGGCTGGATTCAAACCCACCAGCTCTGGTGTACTATGGCTGGTGCCCTAGCCATTGAGCTACAGGCGCCAAGCCTATCAAAAACATTTAAAGCTTCATCTCCACCTATCTATACATTTTTGGCAACTGGTTACATTAAATCCAGTGCATACAGCAGAATGGCATTTTTTCATTTACAATGGCTAGATAAAAAGAGGACAGAGATATTTAAACCCAAAGTTACATTATTAGAAAAAAGAACATAAAAATTCTGAATTAAACTTAATGAAACTAAAATAGACTTCTGGTTCTGAAATGTTAAAAAATGTATCAGTGGGCTCCCTGCTAAATAGCTTTAAAAAACAAGATGCTGAGAGTAAGTGAGGAGAAAAACCTAAAAACAATTAGTTTCTAGTTTAATCACCAAATATCTTTTTTTTTTTTTTGAGATAGAGTCTCACTTTATCAACTTTGGTAGAGTGCCGTAGCGTCACAGCTCACAGCAACCTCCAGCTCTTGGGCTTAGGAGATTCTCTTGCCTCAGCCTCCCGAGGAGCTGGGACTACAGGTGCCCACCACAACACCTGGCTATTTTTTTGTTGCAGTTTAGCCAGGGCTGGGTTTGAACCCGCCACCCTTGGTACATGGGGCCGGCACCCTACTCACTGAGCAACAGGCGCTGCCCCCACTCAAATATCTTAATACTCTGGCCAATAAGTGACAATGTTTCCAATGGCAATATAACTGTAGTAGCAGTGATTTCAAACTTCTTTTAACAAAAAGCAATAGAATAATATTTTGCCCAAATAAAAGTTATATAGAACCACAATATATAAAACAGATACATGAAAGTTATTCTGTTTGAGAACATAAGAGGGAGGAAACAGGACAAAGGAGAGAAAAGGAAAACCCTATCCTTTCTGCTAACTCATTCTCTCCTCTCTCAAAACTGCATGTACTTCTGGTATCTCTATGGTGAAGCAGTTTAAAAATCACCAGAATAGTGGAGAAAAACTCAATAAACAGTATACAGTAGCGCTTCGGTAAGGTGACCACCCAAGGGACTATAACAAACTAGACAACATATGGAGGTGGTCAATACAAGGACCAGGCTGACCATATTGGTAGGTACATGCAGTGCATGTCAGATTTATGAAAATTAAGTCAACTTGGGTGGCGCCTGTGGCTCAGTGAATCGGGCACTGGCCCCATATACGGAGGGTGCTGGGTTCTGAACCTGGGCCAGGCCAAACTGCAACAAAAAAATAGCCAGGTGTTGTGGTGGGCACCTGTATAGTCCCAGCAACTTGGGAGGCTGAGGCAAGAGCTGGAGGTTGCTGTGAGCCATGATGCCACAGCACTCTACCGAGGGTGACAAAGTGAGACTCTGTCTCTAAAAAAAAAAAAAGAAAAAAGAAAATTAGGTCAACCTAAGGATGTGGCCAGCATAGAGAAGTGGTCAATGACGGAGGCTGCACTGTATTTTGAGCTTACCACGAACTCTTCTTCTGTTCCCTTACAAAAGTTAAAAATGATGTACCTGGTTCAGCAAAATTTCGAAGAGGATCATCTCCCATTACCCATCCATTATGTGCCATCAGAAAACAAGCTTTATTTGGAACATGAATCATAGATTCTTCCGTAGAGAAGGCCATTTCTTCAAAGGGGAAAGTAAAATACCTATGAAGATACAATTAAATATTAAATCCATACAGAGAAACACCTTGGAGAGAATTGGACTTAGTAACAAATATCAAAATTAAATTTCCTCCTTAATAAATAAAATTAATTTGACACCATTTAACATCAGTATAGGACAAAAATTTTCAGTAGGCTTTCTGAGTAAATCTGGTGAAATTTGAGGAATGGAGAGTTAACATTATAGCATATCCAGCTGACATTTTAAATAATTTTTAAAACCTCATAAAATTCTAAGAAAATCACTGAGTTATTCATTACTTTACAAAGGCCTTTACTACGCTCTTGTCGTCTAGTCTATGCCGCATGTTAGTTATAAAGTAAGGCACTAAATGCTTGCTTGATTTAACATTAAATTTATTGTCCTTCAGTAACAATGTAAATAAAAACAATAAATTGCTTCATACTGATAGTAGTTCTCTAACTGAAGATTTACCTAGCAAAATTAATTAACATAAGCCTACTTCCAATTCAAAACTTTTATCTTAATTTAAGAACTGTATTCAAGTCACATATTAAAGAAAACATTTAGGTTAATTTGAAAAGTTAAATACAGTTTTCAATTCTTACCCATCAATGAGAAGAAAAACAAAAATGGAATACCTGGTAACCAAAGGATGTTTTCTCGTGACAGGTCCTAGTTTAGGACCATGGCCAGCCATTCGTTCATAAAACACATTTCCCAAAAGGCAATTAACTGCCTGGAAAACATTAAATTATGTTACATCATCATTGACAAAAAAATAGCATTAGGAATCAAAAAGATAGCAGCTCAAAAATAGGTAAAAACCTGCTCCTGATGATAGTTCATGAGTTGATGCTTCTCTAAATTTAATTCTTCAATTCTTTTACGGAACCAATTACAGCATTCTTCAATTGCAGCGGGCCCTTTGCTAGAGCAGATAGAACAATACAAACCTATTATTTAAAGGTTTTACTAATTCTCCATTTAAAAAGTTTCTAACAAGGCCTGGTGACTCATGCCTATAATTCTAGCACTCTGGGAGGCTGAGGAGGAGGGTGGATTGCCCCGTTCAGGAAGTGCTAACAGCCTGAGCAAGAGTGATACGTCATGTCTAAAAACTAGCCGGATGTTGTGGCAAGTGCCTGAAGTCCCAGCTACTAGGGAGGCTGAGGCAAGAGGATCACTTGAGCCCAGGAGTTTGAGGTTGCTGTGAGGTAATGACGCCACAGCACTCTACCAAATGCCACAAAGTGAGACTATCTAAAAGAAAAAACTATTTTTTTCTAATGAAGGTCCGAGAAATCTTAAATATACTCACCAGAATCTTAATTATGGCTAAAAAAGTTTTCCAATTATAAAATTTTTACATACATGTATGGAAACATGTTACGGTACACAGAAAAAGTAGGAAAACGTGTTGAAGTAGTAGAACTATGGTGCATTATTTTATTTCAATTTCCATTGGGGTTTTAATAAGTAGTAGCAATAAAGGTTTATAAGTAATATTATGCTTTATTTCACAGGAAATATAAATAACATACTCATGTGGTATGAAAGTCCTTAGTGCAATGTTCATATCTACAGTACAGCCAAGCCGTTTGTATTCAGGATCCTGAATAATCGTAAGATGTTGGTTTGGATCAGACTTGGTTACCCTCTTATTTTCTGAAAGAAAGAAAAGATACCTTAAAAGCAAATATCCATAAGAAGTTATAACTGTCATTGCTTTCAGAGTTTAAGCCTATAATTTTTTTCATAGAAAATAACAGACATATTTATTTCATAAGCATCCTTCCTACTTCCCTTCCCTATCCCCACATCACAATGCATGCACAGAGCATGCACACACACACACACGCACGCACACACACACGCACGCACACACACACACACGGGAGGTGAGGTGAGGAGAGAAAGATACAGAGAGAGACAAAATAACACTAACAAAGAAAATACACAGGGATTCCTATCAGTTCAACTCAGCCCCAATTTTCTGCCTCAGTCAGCATTCTCTTTTTATTATTTTTTTTTTTTAGGACACTAAGGATTATGGTGGTAAACATTTTCTTCTCAGTTGTTACTAAATCTTCTAACCTTAATAATCCTTTTTCTTTAAAGATCGCTTCCTAAAGTAAGTCTTATTAACAATCTGGATTTCTTGACATTCTCTGAAAGACACACACAAGATTGCTTTTTTTCCCCCTTTCAACAATAATCATATTCCTTAAATAGTAATTTAAAAATTAAAAAGAAAGTAAATGGTTTGGGAAGAATTTTTATTCTTTTCCTGGAACTTGTTTCGCATTGGTGCATGACTGCCTCCACTGAACTTGATTTTATATTAGTTAATTAATTTATACCTGGGTTATTCTAAAGAGACTTTGAAATGGCTTATAAAATTACAAACAAAATGATAAGATAAAATAAAAATAGATTCTTATTTTTTTTTGAGACACACTTTCACTATGTCGCCCTTGGCAGAGGGCTGTGGCTTTACAGCTCACAGCAACCTCAAACTCTTGGGCTTAAGCGATTCTCTTGCCTCAGCCTCCCAAGCAGCTGGGACTACAGGCGCCCACCACAACACTTGGCTATTTTTTGTTTGTAGTTCTCATTGTTGTTTGGCAGGCCCGGGCTGGATTCAAACCCATCAGTTCCAGTGTATGTGGCTGGCACTCTAGCTGCTGAGCACCAAGCCTAAAAATAGATTCTTAAAGTTCAGATTCTAAGGTTCATCTGGAAGAGCAAATATATGAAAACTGCTAAGAAATGTTTGGAAAAGAGAAAAGGCTATACCATCAGTATAAATTACTAATAGTTTGGTGGGGATAAATTAAAAGACAGATCACTGGAAGAGCACCAATATCAGGTCAGTGTGTATCTAGTGTATAATTATAGACTGTGAAGTATACAGTGGTATCTGATCAGTGTAAAAAGATGGACTACCAATTCAACATCTTTTTTTTTTTTTTTTTGAGACAGTCTCACTTTGTCGCCCTTAGTAGAGTGCTGCGGTGTCATAGCTCACAACAACCTCAAACTCTTGGGCTCAAGCGATCTTCTTGCCTTATCCTCCTGAGTAGCTGGGACTAAAGGGACCCGCCATAATACCTGGCTATTTTCAGAGTCAGGGTCTCACTCTTGCTCAGGCTGGTCTCGAACTCCTGAGCTCAGGCGACTACCCATCTTGGCCTCCCAGAGTGCCAGGATTACAGGTGTGAGCCACTGAGCCTGGCCTCAACATCATTGTTTGAATAAAAATAAAATTAAGCACGTGCTTTAAATAATGCAAAAAAAGTTTCAGGTATATTAAATATTTAAGTATAAAAATATAAGATTATCAGAGAAAATTAAGCATAATATGAAATAAGAAACCATAAAAAAATTAGATTCTTGATTAGTTATGTCCTTAACTCATGATTCATTTCTTCACATTTTGTTATCAGCTAATGTGTGGCTTCTGTCTCACCAGTGATTAGTCAGTATAATGGCAGGCACCAGAAGCTGGAAGGCTCTGTGTCAGTTATAATTCTTATTCACACGTGGAAGATGATCACTTCACTCAGACTGTTTTGAGCCTTTCTCAGCTGAAGTAACTTGTTCTAACTACTTCCTATTCATATGTTTAACAAATATATACTGAACTTCTCTATATTGTGCGCATTCTGCTAAAGCAGGGGTTGTCAACCTTCCTAATACCACAATGTATTTTGTTAAAAAGGGGTCACAATCCACAAGTTGAGAACCACTGTGCTAAGGGATCAACAGCCCCTAAAGGAAATATGGAGGTCACTATGAAAGTTTTGAGACAGACTGTATTATAGTCCATTATTTCACTTCCAAGAAACACAGTCAACAGCGGCCTTTCTGATTCACCTGTGCAAGTTTCAACTTGCTCGGTTTATGTTGCTGGGAGGGCTTCATCTGTTTCTAGTGGTACAGATTTTATGTTTCTTGATTTTTGTCTACCTCAAAACTTTTGAAATCACCTATGTAACTGTGTTGTGTATTATTATGACATGTCCTTTAGATGTCTCTGCTAAGTCTCAGCCGCCAGAATCACGGTTTTATAATATCAAAAAATATCATATAGTAACTGATTTAATAATGCTACCAAGAGCTATCTCTTCAAGAGTAATATTAAATTTCTTAAAATTAACAGAAACATACTAGAGTATACACGTTACCTTGTGTAAGTAGTCTTTTAAATTGCTCAACTGCTTTGTAAACATCTACTTGGAAAAATTCCCAGAGCTGAATCTTTGGAAAAATATCCTCCCAGATTACTTTTCGAATGCACTGAAAAATTTAAATAGTAAAAAGAATACTTATTGAAAAATCTTTTCACCAGATGATACTATTCACCATATTAAAAGAAGACCGTATAATTTTGGACCATACATTTAATTCGCACTTTAGAAATTTTGTTATCTGCTTTAGAGTGGTCTTCCTCTATACATACTAACATTCATGTGCTGATCATTTTCAATCAGAGCAGGTACTCCTTTCTCTTTGTATTTCCCTTCTGCGACAGCACAGGAGAAATGCCATAATGCTCTGTCTAAGACCCAGGCAGGTTTTAAGTGTGGAGAATTCACAAGATTATATGCACATTCTGGATGTTCCTGGAGCCATTTACTATTAGCAGCTGAAAGAAAAGGAAACACAAAGGAATATCTCATAATTAAATTCAAACTGTATCTTTGTCAAATTTAAAAGTGAAAGAAAAATCAACATCTACCACTCATTTCCTTTGATATTCAACATCAATATTTTATAATGATACTGTCATGACAAAAAAAAATTTCTTTGGTGATGGTACTGTCTACTTCATCATACTTTTTTGAGACAGTCTTACTCTGGCCAGGGGGCAGTGATGTCACCATAGTTCACTGCAACCTCAAACTTCTTGGTTCACGCAAACTGCCTCAGCCTCCTGAGTAGCTAGGCCTACAGGTATGTGCCAGAATGCCCAGATACTTTTTCTTTTTTTTCATAGAGATGAGGTCTAGCTCTTGCTCAAGCTGCTCTTAAACTCCTGATATTAAGCAATCCTCCTGCCTTGGCTTTCCAAAGTGCTAGAATTATAGGTGAGAGCCACTGCCCTGACTCCTTTTTTTTTTTTTTTTTAAACTTTAATTCTGCTTAGAAAATTCAGATGGAACAAAAATCTGTTCTCTTATAGGTAACGTCTTTGTGCAGTTAATCCTCAAGAGTTAATAAGATAGTTGTTTTGATAAGGTTGATAAAAGTGAGTCTGAGAAACTGCTAAAAGAAATACATTCAAAGTATAAAGGTGTAGCTCATCTCTTATTACCCATTTAAGTCAGTAAGTCCAGGAATAAGGATCAAGAGTTCAGCAAAGTATTCAAAATATTTATGAGTTAAAGATAATATGTTTTAATTTTTTTATTTTTTGAGACAGAGCCTCAAGCTATCCCCCTGGGTAGAGTGCTGTAGCATCACAGCTCACAGCAACCCCAAACTCCGGGCTCAAGCGAGTCTCCTGCCTCTGCCTCCCAAGTAGCTGGGACCATAGGCGCCCGCCACAACGCCTGGCTATTTTTTGGTTGCAGCCATCATTGTTTGGTGGCCTGGGCTGGATTCGAACCCACCACCTTAGGTGTATGTGGCTGGTGCCTTAGCCACTTGAGCCATAGGCGCCGAGCCATATGTTTTAATTTTTAAACAAACAAAAATTATACATAGGTTGTCTGATGTTTAAAATGGACTAATGATTCCTGATTTCATACTGAGAAGCATGAGTGGTTAGTGTAAATAAAATAAAAAATAACAATTATTGTGGGCAGTGCCTGTGGCTCAAAGGAGTAGGGCCCCAGCCCCATATGCTGGAAGTGGCAGGTTCAAACCCAGCCTCAGCCAAAAACTGCAAAAAAAAAATAAAAAAAATAAAAAATAACAATTATCTAATACCTATCACATACCAGGAATTGTTCTGAGCAGTTAAATGTACTAATGTATTATTCCTCATTTCCTGCCACATGAAATAAGGCGCACTATTATGTTCCTTTAACAAATAAGGAGGGAGGCACAGAGAAATAGCTCAGCCACAGTCACAAAGCCAGGAATAACTTGGGCGAGTCTCTCTTCAGAATCTGCAATCTTTACCACTTTGCTCTGCTGCTGAGATGAATGTATTCATGCCTCACTTACTCAGCTGAGCACTGGTATAGTTACAGAATCATTATTGTATCTATTCTCACTTATTTAGTAAATCATTTATTTATTACTTATACCCATAATAAAGCCTCCAGTGAAGACAGTATACATAAGGAACGGAGATGTTACAGTAAAAGTTAGATTGATAATTTTTCAAATTTGTATCATGATAGTTTCGCCTAGATTCATGATCATATTGAAGGAAATTCAAGGTACTTGCTGAAAGGATAAAATATAGTGATAAATATATTTAATTAGATAAAATATAGTGATAAATATATTTAATTCTATTAAGAATAAATATTGGGCAGCACCCCTGTGGCTCAAAGGAATAGAGTACCAGTCCCCATATACCGCAGGTGGCGGGTTCAAAGCCCAGCCCATAGCCAAAAACTGCAAAAAAAAAAAAAAAAAAAAAAAAAAGAATATTAAATCTACCCAACTTTTTAAATAGTAAAATCCTAAAATTAGTTCCTTTCATAATATTTTGAAACAAAAATCACATACAAAATGAAAGACCTCTAAACATTATGTAATGAAAGTATCTAATTCTATAGGAAAGAATATTTAAACTCCAAACTATGTTTTAAGACATCAAAACTAAAAACTAAACATGGACTTCTGGAGTGGTGCAGTAAGGAACTCAGTAAACATTATTCGCACCCAGCAAAACACCTGACTGGTGAAATTCTAAAATAATTGTTAACTATTATTAACAATTGTTTTACTAGTAGAGGGTTTGTGAAGTTCTCATGCTGCCTTTCAGCACTGACTTCCCCTAAATAATAACTTTTAAAATGAAAATCTGTTTTACAGAAAGGACATTATGATTTGTAACATTTTCCAAATAAGGCCGTGGCAAAAGTAATTCATTTTATATTACAGAGAATATTTTTCATATGCTACAGTCTGGCACAGAAGAGACTATATCCAATTTTTTTTTTTTTTTTGAGATAGGGTTTCACTGTTGCTCAGGCTAAAGTGCAATGGCACAATTAGCCCACTCCAACCTCCTGAGCTCAAGTGATTCTCCTCCCTCAGCCTCCCAAGTTGCTGGGACTACAAGCATGCGCCACCATGCCCAGCTAATTTTTCTTTTATTTTAGAGAGGCAGGGTCTCTCTATGTTACCCAGGCTGGTCTCAAACTCCTTGCCTCAAGTGACCCTCCTGTCTTGGGCTCCCAAAGTGCTGGAATTATAGGCCTGAACCATCATATCTGGCCTATTCCCCAGTTTTTATCCTCCCTATCTGTCTTTAGGAATAGAACTCCCAAAGTTCAGCTGTACATATGGCTGACAAAGAATACACTGAGGCAAGAGGATCACTTGAGCCCAGGAGTTTGAGGTTGCTATGAGATAGGACTCTTGCCTGGGGCAAGAGAGTGAGACTCTATCTCAAAACACACAGACACACACAAAGGCAAGAGAATATTCACATCAAAATTAACGAAGGTAGTGAATGTAGCTCATACCAGTATGATTGTAAACAACATCAGTAATACAAAGAATATTCCATTCCTTTTTCAGTTTTTCTACCAGCTGTCCAATATCAGTCCAGGTGTACTTTTTATTAGGTCTTGAAAAGTCAGGATTTAATTCTAACTGATTGGCAAGGGAGTAGCACGATCTAGATAGTCCAAGAGTCTGCAATGGGGTGAAATGAATCATGTTGTAACCTGCAAAGTGAGAAGACAAAGACCACTATAAGAAAAAAAATCAAATAAAAACAACCTCAAACTAAGCAAAATAGAAATTTTCTAGAGTAATTATAAATAGCAAGGCAACCATGCTACTTGAAAAGGAGTCAAAAGACTTGGTTCAATCCTAGCTGAACCACAAAAGTCTTTAAGCAAGTGTTTTTAAAATTCTTTCTGGATACCATTGTCTTCGACCACAAGATATGGATAATGAGATAATGTATTTCAAAAAACCACACACTGCCTATTGTTATCAAGGGTTCGAATTATGGTTGTTGAAAGGATATAATTTATGTGCAGAAAATATATCCTATGCAAGTATATCAACACATCTCTCTCTTACTTTTAATGTCCCATAGTACTTGTACTGTTTTAGTTATGTCAATGAATTTCTCATTTCTTTCTTCATACAATATTTGACTAAAAAACAGAAAGTCAACATTACCCTTTACTTAAGAGTAAAATACAACTTCTCATTTTACTCTTGGTATGCATGGCAGGCAGCATGGAAGACGGTTGACCAATGTTTGTTTGATTAAAATTATATATGATAATATAATCTCCTACACATTTTAATAGTTTACTTCTAATTTTTACATGCCAAAGTCTCAGAAAGGATGTAATCTCATTTTATCGTAGAGTTCCTTATTTATTAAGTTGAATCACATAAATTTGCTATTTTTATAGTTTAGAAGTGATCAAGCATCAACATTTCATTTGGTTCTATTTATATGACTAAATATACTAAGAAACAAAATTAAAAGTAGTAGCAAAACCTTTGGAGGGAGCCTGTATCAGGAAGGATGATTACATTTGTTTTTAAAAAGAAGAAAAGAGAGAATGCTGACATTACCTGACTCTTTGGCAACCCTCAGTCTGCTTTCCCATTCATCAAAAGGTCCCAAACACTTGGCTAAAAATGTCTGGAGGGTAACACAGTCCAAGGGTAAGACGTGATTATCAGTGCCAACATATAAAATGGGATCCACAACTATGTAACCTCCACCACTTTTCTCATTTCTAAGAGAAAAAACAGAACAAAAACTCTTAAATAAACAATAGGGAAAAAATTCCTCACCTAATATAGTCTGACTGTAACTGGATGGTTAATTGTCCCATTATAAATAAATTTTTTCAAAACCATTTAGAAAGGGGAGGGGAGAAGGGTGGCTGGGTGGAGGGAGGGTGATTGGAATGATCACCTCTATGGTCTGTCTTACAAAGGTGTAAGTGAATCTTTCTAAAACTAGAGTATAAATGTCTTAATACAGTAACTAAATAAATGACATAAAGTCTATGTTAACCAGTTTGATGAAAATATTTCAAATTGTATATGAAAACACTACACTGCACCCCATGTTTGCATTAATGTACACAGCTATCATTTAATAAAAAAAAAAAAAAAAAAACATTTAGGAAGTTGTAGCACAATTTAAATGGAAAAGCCACATTTACCCTTTCCCAATCTTTACATAATTACATAATATACCTAATATCCAATAATGATTTAATAAAAAATAATTGTATTCAAATCTATCAGTGATAATAAGGGCACTCAAATAAATAACATCTTATAGTCAGGAGAAGAGACTAGAGTATTAAGATGTTACTTAGAATAAATTTATACAATACTTTCAATCTGCAATAGTTACCCCCTAGAGACTGAAGAACCATATTCTATTTGCATTTCAAATAAGCACTATAAAAACTGCACTGCCATGGTTCATACGGTAACTTTTACAGGGTAGGTAACTTCAGGTTATAGAATAAGCTTTTTTCCACATACAGAACATCTGACTTACCCTTGAAGGAAATAGTACTGAAATGAACCAGACTGCTGCAGGTTAAGTTTACAGTATTTATCAGAATCATCTTCTCTTTCAGTTGGATTTTCCCAACCCAGGGGGTGAAATTTTCCTCGATTAAATGTTTCTCCAGGAAATGGGTAATTTGTATACACAGTAACTGCTTTTCCCTGTAAAGTTGGGCCCAGTCGAAACTGTAGTTCGAACCCTAAATAAAAAGCACATTTGAATAAACTCACTGCAGGACTTAAATTACCACATTAAAAAATAGGTGTTTCATTTAAAGGATCATAAAAACTTTGATTTTTCAATTATGTTTAAAATAACTCCACATACCTAATGCTGCTTTGGAAGTACTTTGCATTCCAATTTAGCTGAATTTTACGTTAAGTATCATATGCTAACAGATTGTGCCACTAGAGCTGAATTTTATCTTTTAATAAGTATAGTAAACATCATAGAACTGTCCTCTCTGTAATGTCCTTTTCTTTTTCCCTTGGAAACGGATTCCTACTTTCATGCTTACTTTGGGGTGTGCAAACTCTTATATGACGCCATTTACCATGAACTCTCACTCTCCCACTCTCAACCCTAGAGGCAGGCATCTGAGCAGAGCCCTTCGCTAGCAATTTTCCACCTGCATCAAAGAGCAAGTTTCTCTATGGTGTTAGAGTAAGTGGTAGTATATAAAACGTGGGAGGTGTCATGGGACAACCATCTCACCATACAGACAAAGCTAGTCTTCAGTGAGAGAATCCAATCTTTAGTGGGGCAGAATTCGGACTTCTAACAGGAGTTCTGGAGGCATCTGAGCCACTGACTGATGTCTGCTCAAATCCAGTGGTGTGCTAATAAAGGCTTAGTGACTGCCTGGAGTGGTGGGAAGCTGATTTGCAGTGTATGCTGACCACCTGGTGGAAACAATCCCAACACGGATGATCTAAAGCTACCAACATCAAAGTGGAACTGGGAAGAGATGTACGTGACCAGCTCTTGTGAGCAGCACAAGCGGCTCTAACACATTACTGCCTGTATCTCTACTCTCCTTGGTTTAGTTACTAAAGCCTTTCCTGGTCTCCTGAGAGCCAATACCTTTCCACCTTTGCCCAAGTTAGGTTATTCCAATTAAAACATGTAAGTCTTAACTACTACACTCTTAAGTATTTTACTATAAGAAAAAAATAAGTACATTACAGCTAAAATTGTATTGTGAACAAAAAGTTTTGGTGGGTTTAAGGAAGACGTTAAACCTTCTTCCTAATTATTAGAAAGTTTGCATGATACTTTATAATGAAACAGTCTATAGTTAAATCTGTTAGAAATAATAGGCATATAAATTTTGAACAAGAATGTAGCTTTCAATTAATGATGGGTGAAGGTGGGAAAATTTAGTGCTGTGGTGTACAATATTTAATACTTAGGGAACTTTTATGAGAAGGAAGAAATACATCAATATTTGTAATATTTAAAATGCCCCATTCTTTGAACATCCATCAAAGCAATGAAAATTATGCACTGAGCACCTACCATGTCATAGGGAACATAATAGATAACCACTCCTGCCCTTGTAAAGCTTGAGTTCTCAAGGGAGAAGGCGGCCATTAAACCATACACACAACAAATAAATAAGAAAAAATGACATGTCAGGAGGGGACAAATGCTGAGAAAAAAGAAAGAAAAATAAGAGCTGGGTAAGAAAATGGGGGAGAGGGGAGGTGGCAAAAATCTTCAACAGGATGGTAACTGAGAATCTAAAAGCCTGACAGGAGTGAGCTAGTTAGCCGCAGGCTATAAGGCACTGACCATGTGAAGGAAACAGGGGGGACAAAGGACCCATGGTGGAAGCACATCCAGGGTCCAGATGCGGTTCCAGACATAACAAGAAGCTCACTACAGATGGATTGGAATAAGCTGAGGAAGAGCAGGAGGAAGTGAGGTAATAAAGGTAACAGGAGAAGCGGATCGTGTGGTACCTTAAAGGCCACTGTAAGTATTTTGGCTTCCCTGATTGAAATAAAGAACTAGTGAACATCTTAGAGCAGAGGAGGGACGTGACCTAATTGATGTAATAAATGTATTAAAAATATTACTCTGGGCTAGGCATGATGGCTCATGTAATCCCAGACTTGGGAGGATGAGGTGGAAGGACAGCTAAAGGCTAGGAATCTGAGACCAGCCTGGGCAACACAGTGAGACCTTGTCTCTAAAAACAGAAAAAGAAGAAAAATTTGCCAGGTGTGGTGGAGGGTGCCTGTAGTCACAGTTACACAGGAAGCTCAGGTAGGAGGGTAGCCTGAGCAACCAAGGCTGCTGTGAGCTGTGATGACACACCTGCACCACAGCCTGGGTGACAGAGTGAGACTCTATCTCTACAAAGAAAAATCGTCAGTCGGAAAAGGAAAAAAATGGGGAAAAGTATCACTCTGGAGATATCTCCTTCTGGCCAAGATAGAGTAACTGGTGCTAGACTTACCCACTGCTGAAAAACTAGAAGAAATACGTGTATACGAAGGAGCTCTCTTCAGAAGCAGGTAGTAAAGAACTGGAATCCTTGAGAGAAGGGTGATCCCTAGAACTTTCTGGAATATGCGCAGGGAGCAATAACAGTGGCCCCACTCCGTTGAGGAGAAAGAGACAGATTAGAATCTGGGGAAGTTGGGAGCTCCATTTTCAGGGCACAGTATGGCAGAGAAGAGAGTTACGAGAGGGAGAGCTCCATCAATTTCCTTCAAGTCTGCCTGAACATTAAGTTATCCATGAGTCAAATTTGACTCATAAACTGAAAAATTCCCAGAGTTCATACAGGCCTGGAAGCCATTTATTTGTTTTTTGCCTGGTCTGACTGAATCCCTACATTGTTGAATTCTGAAGCATTCAGCAGCCAACCCAGAAGAGTGATGCTTTAATCAGGGGTCCTCAAACTTTTTAAACAGGGGGTCAGTTCACTGTCCCTCAGACCACTGGAGAGCTAGACTGCGGGCCCCGGGACGAGTTGGCTGCTAAGCAGGACAGGCAGCAGCGGCAAAAACACCCAGTGAGCAGGATAAATACCCTTAGCAGCTGCATGTGGCCCGCGGGCTATAGTCTGAGGACACCTGTGTAGTAGGACTAATAGGCCTCGCGTAGAAACTACTATAAACATATCCTATCAAAGCTTAAAAACAAGCCTCAAGAAAACTAAGCTGGGCAGCGCCTGTGGCTCAAAGGAGTAGGGTGCTGGCCCAGTATGCCAGAGGTGGCGGGTTCAAACCTAGCCCCGGCC